GCTTTGACATGAAGCTGGTGAATCAGTGACGTCCACGTTCTAAACCAAGTCAAAAGCAGATTATGGTAATGTGGGGATCCAGCTGAGGGGGAGCGGTGACTAATATGCTACATTTACAAACAGCGGTTCCTGCGAGCACTTCCACCGACGGTGCCAAAACAAAGCCCCGTATAGAGGAGACGCCGGGGAACACAAACCACTCATTGTCCTTTTTGTCTCATCAAATTATTTTTATGTCTTGTTATTGTCCTTTCTATAAACTCTGCTCTACATAAATCTTACCTCCCACTTCCCCCGTGCTAATACAAACACACACAGGAAAACCATAAGGGTTGAATTTCCAGCCCACTCAGCTTCCCTCAGCCTTTTGGCAGGTGTCAGTGATCATGTATTTGCATATATGCGTGTGCGTGTGTGCGCGCATGTGCATATGTAAGCAGGGTGCTTCCGAGGAAGCGGCTGGTCATAAGTGGCAGCTGATGATCCGGAACTCCATTCATCCCTACAGCACAAGGGTCCATTCACCCCCCGGTGCTTTTCACCCCAGTGGTGCAACTCCACAGTCTCTGGGCTGCTTCCCAGAATTAAAAGCTTACAGGGGTAAACTGTCACTCACTCGAAAAAAGCTTCCCACACAAGATGTGAACGCAGATGCAGAAACACATCCACTCCTCCGCACAGGCATGCTAAATAGAAGTCCAGGAATAGACAGATTTTTTTTTTGTCCCCCACCCCTCCTTCTGTTCTGACTCATTATAAGTAAGCCCCAGAGCCATTTTGTTTTTTTTTTTTTTTTGGTTGATTTTTTTTTTTTTCCAATAATCGTCTCCCTATCCTCCGCTGCCTTTTAGAACGAGTGACACACAGCAGGACGAGGGGTCATTTTCATTTTTGTCATCCCTCTTTGCTTTTTGAATGCCTCTGACAAGTTTATACCCAAACCCACCATGGACTGGAGGTACGGGGGGAAGTCTCTGACAAGAAATGAGTGGGGGGGGGGAAAGATGCCAAATCTGTCCACGGAAGAGACGTCAAGGGTCCAGATTGAGAGAACATGATGGAGAAGCTGTAGCTGTCCTTGAGGGCTGAATCTAACAGGTATTAGATGTGATTCTTTTTCACACCAGCCCTTTCGGACAGCCTCGAATCCCCAATCAGATCAGAATATCGTCCACACTTTATCATCCTGCACCTTAGCCATTTGAATTATACTTTCACGGTCTGATGTCTCGGCAACAAAGACATGAACACACCACAGCATCACCACCGCCACCACCTGTCGCGAAATTCCCACAATCATTCAGCAGCAGCATTCCCCCTTGAACTGTCGTTGGTGCACGGGACTGCCTCATTAAGGAAGGCGTCTTCGCATCCTGGTTCAGCCTCACTTCTGGCATATAAAAGGCTGAAGGTTGGCATGGAGTTGTCACTGAGGCATCACCCAGAGAAGATGGAGACTTACATTTTCCACAAGGTTTGTAGGGAATTCAGTCTCCTTTTTTTTCTGTGCAGCAGTCAAGCATTAAAGCTTGGTCTTTCTTTTACAGGTAGAAACCCCTAATCTGCAAAAAGGCAGAGGTGACTATCAGTCATTCGCTTTATGTGCTGATTCGTCCGTCTAACCTTTGCGGCCAATTTCTTTGGAAGCTTTTGTTTTTCGATTACCAATTTCTCTCAAAGAACTACAATGTAAGGAGGATATAAGAACCAAATTCAAATAACGTCACAAGTTGTCCAGCTATAGGTGTTCTTTAATTAAGTCACAAGGAGCATATGCAGTAATAAGTCCTGTCTTTGAGAAAGAAACTGCTTGACGTTTAGAGCTCCTTTTTTCATCCTGTTAGTGATTAACAAAGTAAAGCAAGGACATTTTATTTATATAACTCTTTACATGAATTAGAAGGAAATGCAAACAAAACAATAAACTAAAGAAAAAAGCAAAAAGAGCAAAAAGCAACAAAAAAGTAGGTGTAAAACTAAATGTCGGTTCTCCATGTTTGACTCTATAAAGTAGATGGTACTAAATATTGATCTCAAGTAAACAAATTCTTTAAACTAAAGTAGGTGTTATTAAATTAGCTGTCTCCGTGCGCATGTCCTTTCCCTCTCTGACATTTCCAATCCACATGTCAAACTCCAGCCCACTAGGCATGAAGAGTCCAACTTTGCTGTAACACAAGTCAGCCTTCCTGTTATCTGCAAAAATCTGTCTCTCAGCAAAAATAAACAAAAAACATGTCTGTTGATGTTTTAGAAAACAAAACCCTTTAAAATCATCTCCTCCAGCTCGGTGTTTTCTCTGATTCCATATCAAGTATCTCACTGACACTGAAAACTGTTAACTTTGATTATCCCTCCACCCCCTCAATAACTTCCACACCCACAATACTCTTGGCAGAGCAACTTGGTAAGGCTATTATCCTCAGCTGCATCTATGAAAGTGGAAATAGGTTAAAGACTCTCTCTATAAAGCCCTATGAGGGTTTTCAAATTGGAAAGTGTGGTATGCGAGAGTAGCAAGGGAATGTCTGTCAACGAGGCAGTATCACACACCGAGTGCAGACACGCAGGCAGCCTCACTTGTCGGAGGGTATCTCCCGGAAGTGGAGAGCGCGACTTCACAAAAAATGTGACTGAGTCAAAGATGGGAAGAAAAAAACATGGCAGAAAAATAGATACGTGACAGCGAATGACTGACAGCGAAGAGTAAGCTAATTACATGCAGCATAGACATTTAAAACGAAAAGAAATATCACAGTCAACTGTCTTTTAACATCGTCGTGTGCTGAATATAACATCTTTGTTAACTTTTCTGGTTATTTTTAGAGAAGCAACAATATGAAAAGATTATATTAGATGGTTAATTAATCAGGCCGTTTACTCCAGTGGCGAGTCAGTGGTGTGCTGATTAACAGACGTGCTGTTCATAGATTTCCAAATGTAATTTAGAAAAAGAAGGTTGCCAAAATAAGACTAAGGGGATTGTTTCATTTTCACACCATGACTCTGTAGAAATATTTCAGGAAAGCTAGAATCGTTGCTCTTTCAAGTGAGGGAAGACATCAGCAGCTGTTATTCATCCAGCTGAAAGACAGTGTGCAGCAAGAGGAAGGTCGGAGGGCAACGATGCATCTCTATGTCTCACGCAGCCACATAAAATGCTGGTCATTCTAACACTTTGCCTGGCTTCTCATATCTAAAGCAAAGGTACAACAAAATGTTTTTGCAGTTTTTACAATTATGCTAACTGTAAAGCCTTAAAGTGGGACAAATCTTATGAATACAGATAAGTGGCAAGAATTAAAAAAAAAAAAGAAAAGTCTATTTTTTTTGTCTTGCAGAGCTTAGACTTGGAGCTATTGTTAGACTGGCATAATGACACACATCATCACCCAGAGGAGAAAAACATCCCCACTGAATCCAGAGTTTCAGGCATTAGACAATGTGCTGCTGCTCATTTGAAACGCCGTCACATGGGTTCGAAGGTGGCCTTGCATCCGTCTGGCTTTTCAGATCAAAACGATCAGAAGTGAGTTTCGAAAGTGCTAAAATATTGATCTTGAGCATGAATGTGAATGCTGCATCGGTGAAGCATCCCTTCTTCGTGCACGTCATACAAGATCCCTGATTTGCATTGTGTTTCTTTGTTTTCTTTCGCACCAAAAAGTGGAATAATTTTTTAAAAAAATCATTGAACTGATCAGCCTTTTTCTGGTTGAAATTTTGACTTTTTTGAAAAAATTATTTGTTTATTTTTTAAAGAAGACCAGAAAATGCTATGAGTCATTTAGTAGTGATAGCACTTTTAGTCCAACAGAGGGTCTGAGACATTATTCTGCATCAAATATTTCTATATATAAAACTTCTATGCCGTTATGCATATAACTTAAGAAATTATCATGATAATTGTGTTTCGTAAGTCATGTTAAATGATGTATGCACAGATAGTGGTATTGGTACATATTTCTGGATTTGTTGTAGCTTTTTAAAACCCAGAAGTTAACAAGAGTGAATCAGAGAACTTATTTGCGGATGATACTGATATATTAGTCACACATTTGTAAACGTGAGTTTGGTGAAAATTATGGTGCTCTTTGAGCCCCCTACTGGTGTGGCGGCGCACAGCAGTTTATGCCGTGGACCTGTTTAGGCTATAAACATGAAGCCACAAGGTAAAGTGTAATTGTCTGCAAGGCTGGTAGAATTTCAAATGTCATCTATTATGGAGTTGTATTTAGCAGTCACACATGCGTTGAAAAAAAAAACGGACTTTGTAGTTATTTAAGGTTTTTATGTGCGGATTTTCTGACGCATTGATATTTGTGAAACTCAAAATATTGTGAAAAAAACAGTTTAATTGCTTTTGGTTGTTTTTTTTTATGCACAACAAATTTAAACTTGATGCATTTTATGAACAGAAAAAAAAATCTGGTCAGTAGTGATTCGACTATTCCATCGGATCAGCTAAAAACTAGGCAAATTCGGATTTCCAACTGAGATATTTTCTCAAATAAATAAAACAAAATGTTCGCAGCTGTAAAAATAAAAAATAAAACAACAATATGACTTTACATGTCAGAAGTGTTCCTCCACCGACGCGCTCCAGCATTTAAACACCCACTAAGCGCAAACGGGCTGGAATCACGCAGTGTGTGTGTGTGTGTGATGGTGGGGGGTGGGGGGAGAAAAAATAATAAGTCCCCACGCAACAGTTCCTGAGACAACGGAACCGACGGTCGCTTTGCAGTACGTCTGAAACACAAGTGATTACAGCACGTCTCCATCTCCGCAGACTTCCAGATGCTGCAACACTATCGGATGGGGGAGCAATTAGTGTGTGTGTGTGTGTGTGCCTGCGTGCGTGTGTGTGTGTGTGTGTGTGTGTGTGTGTGTGTGTGTGTGTGTGTGCGTGTGTGTGTGTGCGTGTGTGTGTGTGTGTGTGAAGGGGGTTGGGGGGTGGAGGAGATACTTCAACCAGTTTCCGCTGATCGATTACTTACAGGCGTATGTCATGGAGAAGCTATTTCCCATTATGACCATATCCACATGCGACACCAGTTTGGGGATGTCCTGGTGGTGAGAGAGGGCGAAGCGAAACACCTCATATTCGTGCGAGACGTTGGGGAACAATCCTCCTGTTGAGCAGCAGACAGCCCCGGAGTTGATGGACAGAGGCAAGTCAGGTTAGAAACACGAGAGAAGACACACACAAAGTTGCCACTTTCTTTTCCCTCCCTGTCAAAAGGTGCAAAGCCATCCTCACCTATGTTGATGTTACTTGGGAAACTTGAGCCCGAACCCAAGCATATCCCCAGTAAACTGGTGTAGAGCAAGGTGAGGCTTCGCTGCATATTTCCGTTTGCATTGGCGAAGGGAAAAAGAGCCGAAATCCACGCATAGGTTTGTCCGTGTTTGTGTCCGTCCGCTTCTTCTTCCAGCAGCCTCCGGTCACAGGAGCGTCCGCGCTGACGAGCGATTCAGCAGCGACACAATGAGCGCAATGGCGAGGAGAAAAGAGAGTAGAGCAGAGAGGAGAGGAGAGGAGAGGAGGCACCTTTCTCTCTCCCTGCTGATGCTCTCCTGTCCTTGGTTGCCGCCGCGCACGAAACGGAGAATGACTTCAGCGAGAGACGCGCTGGAAAAGAAAGGAAGGAAGAAGGAAAAGGAAAATCCCGTTTGAGGAGAAAAACTGTTGATTCTCCAAAGCCATTAGGCAATCCAACCCTCCCTCCCACCCCCTCTCTGTCAAATTAAGCAGGTCAGTTGTTGCGCGCTGGAAAGAAGGAAGGAAAGAAAAAGAAAGAAATCTCTCGCGTATGTATGGACACAAGTACAACAGGCAGTAATAGCGCGTCTCCTGAAAGGATGTGAAAGATCGAGTCGCCGTCGTCTGGAAAAGAATAAAAGGCTGTTTCACCCAGGAGACAAAAGGCACAATATCTCACCCGATTCTCACTTTCAGAGAAGGAAAATTGACGTTTTCTCACTCATTACACGTCCAATGACCTGCGTGACGAGTATTTCTTGCAGTGTGCGTCCTCGAAGTGCACACGAGGTCCCTGAGGGGCGCACGGCTCTCCGTGCAGACTCCAGTCCCTTCGTTTTCACCGCGCTGTAAAAAGTTTGGTCGATGGACAGAATGTGTCACCTCTCCTGCACACTGATCTTTTTTTATTATTATTATCATTCGTAGGATGGGTTGGGGTTATGCTGTTTTTGTAAAGATGTGTTAAAACAAACAAACAAACAATAAGCTAAGGAAATTCGTTGTGATTATTAGTTTCAAAATATTTCTGTTATGACTTTTGACACACACACGCACACACACACTCCACACATCTTCACTTTGTGAATTCCCAAACTCTTCACTGCGCCTTGTTTCATATTCCTCTCAAGGTTGCAGTAATTTCATGTTTTTCCATCACATTTTTTTCTTCCACTCAACTTCCCAAGAAGTGCCAGCTTTTATTTTATTTTTTTAGGAATGTCCGTGAGTTATTTCTTTTCTAAAGTGGTCTTCTTACGTCATAATCTGATTTGCAGCGAAAAGTCATTTTTGTCCCTCGTTAACTTTTATGAAATTGACAGTGATTTTCAATCTTCCCGAGATGCAGCTAACGTCTCCATGTGTCATCATCACTCATAAGTAAGGGAAAACATACACTCAGTGCCTATTTTAGTGCACACACCTGTTCACCTGCTCATCAGCTCCGTTGAGACAATCACATGGCAGATGACAATGCACTCCAGTGCCCTCCACAATCACCAGAACGCAATCCAAAACGGCATGTTTGGGACGAACTTGATTATCTTCGCTGTGCAGCCAAAAAATATGTTAGTGAAATTTTGACATCTTGTTGAATCTACTCAGTTCAAAAGACAAAAGGTGACCCAGCCCTTAGCATGCTGTACCCAAAGAAGTGGCTGCTGTAAAGTAATTTCTATGTGCATTAAGCATTAATAAAATTCAGCAGTGGTAATTATCTAATAATTTGATTTCTGAGATTATTCTGAGAGTGTAAGGAGACATGCGGCAAAGGTCGACAGGTCTGGACTCAAACCCGCGATGGCCATGTCAAGAACTGAGGCCTCCACACTTCGGCGCCACCGTGCCCAAATAATCCAACTTTTAATTCAAATACTTATTATAGTGTGTGAAAAACATCTCACAGCAAAACCATTGGTGATGCAATTGTCATAATCACCATAAAACCGACTTAGCTAGTTTTAAAGAGTCCAAGAAGTTTTAAGAGTCAAATATCTCTAAAACTCCCCGTCTCAAAAACTGGTTTTCTTGACGACAACCAGTTTTAACAGTTTTGAGCACATTTGCACCAGGTGTGTTAGTAAACACACTTATTAGAGCTGCACGTTAATAAAGATATTAGTGTGCAGCTGCATTTCTAAAATAAGGAAATCTAAAAGTTTGGTGTTGCAGCCACAGAAAAACAACAACAACAAAAACAACGGTTTTAGTTTTCGAATGCACATTTTCAAGAAATTAAATTTATGTACATAAATGTTCCAAGTATATATATATATATATATATATATATATATATATATAATATATTATATATATATATATATATATATATATATAATATATATATATAGATATATAATATTATATATATATATATATATTTTTATATATATATATATATTTATATATATATATATATATATATATATAATATATTATAGTATATATTTTTTTTTTTTTTTTTTTTTCAGCATATACTTTTATAAAAAATGTTTTTCAGTCAGATGTACATTATGGTTTTAGACTTCAAAATACACTTGTAACAAAAGACCTGATTACTTACAATAAAAATGTTACAAAATGGCTGCATATTTACTCAGTTTCGTACATTGTTGAAAGTAATTACAGCAGAAGCACCATAAGTTCTTCCTGGCGCCTCAACCTCTCAGATCCATATGCTCCCTCCTGCCTCATCACTTTCTGCCTTAAATCTTCATCGTGACTCGACAGAGCAATCTTCATTTGCAATATTGTTATTGTAACTTAACAAGAGGACTCACAAGTCATAAATTAAATCGGCAGCACGCAATCCTCAACAAAAAGAGTTCAATTGGGAGAAACAAAACAAAACAAAACAAAAAAGCTCTCCCACACAGACAGGCTCTATCTAAGCTTCCAGATATGTGATGTGTTGCTTTGTTATGTCCTTGATTTCAGTCAGGAGTCTGAAACTCAGCATCTTCACCTCAGCAGCCTCAGATTCACCATCGATACAGAGCATAGTATATCCCAATCCTTCCCTTCCAATCATGACCCTAATTTTACTTTGTTATTAGCTCCATGTCCTCTTTAGGGATATGATGAAGTGCGATTTACTCTCAATATAATCAGATGTGATTTTTGAACCTTGATTTTATTTTGCAATCGGTAGATTAAACAGTACAGAATACAAGAAAATGAATAAAATGTTCATATTTTAACCTCCTTTTGAATGCAGCATCTGCATTCCTACTCGCTTAGGAGAACCAACAAAGGGTTGAAGACAAAATAGTCTTTCTGTGCTGGGCAATAACTACAGTGTGAATAAAAAAACATTAGTAAATATTACCTAAATTTGCTTGCTACCTCAATATCTGCTGATTAAGCGTTGGACATGTTTCTTTTTAGAAACTAAAAAGTTGTTTGACGTTAATATTTACAGAGTAGAAAACTAAATCGTGTGCAAACGAATGCTGTCATTGGAATGATTTGTTTAAATAAATTGCCCTGGCTTACCGCAAAAAACCCACATTTTTAAGAATGTGAAATGGGGATTCTTTGCTTCTTGTGCTCCCGCTCACGCAGCGCAGGACTGGCCAGCCTCTGATAAGATGAGTTATGATGGAGACTGGCAGCTGGTGCCCATGGTTCCCTGGAAAAGAGCGACGATCCCATGTTTGCAGACTGAATTAACCAACACAGCTCATATTCACATGAGGCTGAGTGATAACGCCACTATGCTGTGATGCTGTAGCGCATGTTTGCAAAAATAAAGAGGCAAATCTTGCCCCTGGCACAGTTGGGAACAGGATCTATCACACCATGTAAGAGTACATTGTTAAATTAAAATCTCTTTCCTCCCCTCATTGTTTCCATAGCTCAAGCAGGCAGTAACACATTTCTCCCAGAAAATGAAATTTGGAAGATTAGAAGCTTATGCCGAATTAGATTTGCAGCGTTTCCAGTTGAAAAGAAACGTAACAACTTTGACTGATTACCTCTGGCAATCCAGTTGGAGGTTATCTAATTTATGAGTGATGGATGTTCTATAGATACTGTCGCAATGGTCCATTTTTCTTGCTTTTGTTCAAAATGATGAAGGGTAACTTTCATTATTTATTTTTCTTTAGTCTTTTCTCATTTCATTCTTTGAGCTCAAAAAGACATTTGATTTTCCGTTCTGTTTGATTGCATGTGTCAAGTTGCCTGTAGTTACAGTATTCATCCGTCAATCCGTCCGTTGTCTATACTCGCCTGTCTAATTATTGAACTGTTAGAGGCATAAAAGTGATCAACAGTGAAACTCAGGAGATTGGAAATGCACGTTTTAATCCCAAAGACGTCTGTGTCACAGATCATAATGTGAGAGACTGTCTTTGGGTTTTTAATAGAAGTTCATGTGACGACCGTAATGAGGGCAATCTGTCAAAATCTGCTCGCCTCACTCCTGTTTGAGCGGATGACAAGAGAAAAAAAAGAAAAGCTCCTCTGAATATAACTGCCTTAAATGAGATACGCTCAATTGATTGGTATCTATAAGTGGAAACAAAACCACGAGTTGTATTCACATGCTGGATCTGATGGAATGGCACCTAATTTCTTTCATCAAGATTCCCAAAACTGTGGTAAATTTTGTCAAGAAATAATATAGACGAAAACAGAATTACGTTGAGAAAATAAGTAGACAGGCTTGAAAAAAATCATTTATACTCCACGATTTTCAGCTTAATTCAGTAAAAACTCTGTAAAGAGCTGTGAGGTTTTGTTGTATGATAATATTAAACAAACAGAATCACAGACACTAAGGAACTCAGCTTTCAGGTCAGAGACAAAGTTGTGAGGTCTCAAGCAGGGTTAGATCATGAAATATTGATGAAGCATTGTGGTACAAAAATGCTTTTTTTTAAGCAATGACAGGAAAATGGATAGAGCTCAAATCAGAGCAAAAGAGTTAAGACTCGGTTGGTGGTTCACCTTCCAGCAACACTAAAGACACAGCCAGATATCCAATGGTTTAGATCAAATGTAAGAATGGCCCAGTCAAAGCCTGGAAAAACAAAATATGGAAAAGGTTGCAGCAAAGATCGCAAAGTAGGATTTACATTCGCTCCCTACCCAATATAACAGAGCATGGGCAATTTTAGTAAGAGGAATTAGTGGAAAAGCCTCTCACTAGACATGCAAAGCTTGTAGATATATATATATTTAAAAGATTTCCAGCTGTTATTAGAGCACAATGTGGTCCTGGGTGAATACAAATGCATGGCATACTTTTCTGATTTTTATTATAAAACTCTTAGAAAACTACATCTTTTCTTCTCATACAAAAATTATGAGTGGCTCTGTTTTGGAAATTCCCAGTAAAATACATTGAAAAGTTGCATTCTTGCAACTGTGACAATATGCACACAGCTTTTAG